AAATTACGGGCCCGGGTCCGTTTATCCAAAATGTTGACCGAAGTCAAATTTATTCAATTTAATATCAAAATTTAGCATTTTTCTCACAAAATTCATATTTAAGCTTTTCGGCTACGCGTCCGGACTGCGCACGCAAATCGAGGCAACCCCAAATGAGGTTTTCAAGACCTTGAAAGCACAGAATGAGAAAGTGAATAAGTGATGACCCTTTGGGTCGCCACATGATCTCCAGAATCTGTTTCTGGTGTTGTTTTTCCTTCGTTACTGCTATAAAATACCTTGTGTTTGAATCACCTAATTTGACCCATGTAGCTCTGGGTTTTTGCTGCACCACACTTTCTTCAATCATAGACCATTTCTCCAATTGTGTTGCATATCTTTTTGAAGCTCCTTCAATGCAGTTCTAGTCTTTGTGATTTTCTCAGTGATCCCTTTAAACTCTTCATTGTTAAGTTGTTTGAGAACTGGTTTCAGTTGTTTCAGATTGAGCCATACATTTCTCATTTTCCCTCCTGTCTCCCTTCTTTTCCAACCATCAGCAACTATCTGCTTGAAACTTCTGTGTTCAGTCCAAACATTGAAGAATCTGAAGGGTATTTTCATGTTATTCTTAGGGGCTCTGAATGGTATCATTATGGGTACATGATCATAAATAAAAGGTTCTCCAAACTCTGCTGTCAGATGTCCATATTGCACCATCCATTCATCATTTGCTATCGCTCTGTCAATTCTACTACAAACTCTGTCGGCTCCTTGTTGCTTGTTTGTCCAAGTATAGTATTCACCTCTCCAAGGAATTTCATTTAAAAGAAGTCTATTACAGCAATTTGAGAAGTCCTGTAATTCTACCATAGTTATAGGTGAACCTTGTCTATCATGTGGGTATAGGACTGCATTGAAATCACCACATAATAACCAAGGTTCATTACTCTTAGGAGCTATCCTCTGCAGCCCATCCCATAGAGCTTTCCTCTGTTCAACTGTGTTATATACATAGATGGTTGTAAGTAAGCACTTGATTCCATTCTGTAAACCAGTGACCTGACAATGTATGAATTGAGCAGCTTCTTGAACCAGTTGGATGTCATATCATTTAGGATCCCAAGTGATCCATATTCTGCCATTCTTGCTTCCTTATAGTTTGATAATCTTTCCCATTTAGGAGTAACTCTACCAGCAACATGCAATGCCTTATTTTGTTTAACTCTAGTTTCTATGATAGCAGCTAACTTTATATGATTGTTTTTAAGGTACTGCTTTAATTCCTTCTGCCTGTACCTCTTATTTATTCCCCTAATATTCCAAAAGAGCCATGTCATTATGATAGCCTAGTGTTACCCCCTAAATCAGGAGGTTTAGCTTTCACAATTCTCTGTTCCTCATCAGGCAAAACTTGAAATCCATTTTCTGTTGCAATATCCCCAGGAGCTAGATAATTTTGTGCAGTTGTTACTTTTACACCTGAGCTTGACCCTTTTGCTCTAACCTGTGTCCAGCCTCCTTCAGTATTCATCTTTGTTGATTGCACAACACTCTTCCCTTTAGTTTGGTTATCTGTATCTTCATTTTGTTCCATCTGTACTGGTTCCTTTTTTTGTTGCTCTTTGTTCTTAGGTACCCATGTTGAAACTAGTCTAGGTCTTTTGTACCTTTGGTTTTGCACTGGTTTCCCTATTTGTTTTTGCTTCATACAATCATGTCCAATCTTCAAACATTCAGAGCAAAATTCGGGTTTCCATTCAAACTCAATGGGCTGTTGAAACTGTCTACCAGACGGATCATTAACAGTTATTTCAGTAGGAAGCTTCCTTTGTTACATTTACCTCTATCAATATTCTAGCATAAGACACTCTAGATTGCTTGGTGGTGCATTGATCGGCAAACAGAGGATTACCTAGAGTACTAACCATCCTGCTCAAAGAATTTATTCCCCGACAGTTCATCGGAAGTTTAGGGAATTTTACCCATAACGAAATCTCTGTTAAGAATTCTGCATTGAAATCAAATTCCGGCGACCATTGCTTGAGAATAACAGGCTTGCTATTAATGGTATAAGGCCCTCCATACAGGATTTCTTGTAAATCATTTAGACTGAGGAATTTTACTATGTAATAACCATCTTCATGTAAAAATAGATCTGGTTCGGCTACGTTATTACAGTGTTGGGCTATATAGCGATGCATTTGGTTGTAGCCTGGCGTTTCCCCAATTACATAAACAATCAGAGCTTTCTTCCATTTTCCCGTCTCATTTTCTACCTCCAATTTGTCTAAATTCACCACATATTGACCATCTACTACTTCGGGAGCAACGTAGGATAAGGTCATACCATTTTCTGCAGATCTATTTCCCGCAAAGAGTTTCACCCAAGGAGTTCCATTCAAAGTTACTTTCTCCTCTGTAATTGGCTCAACTCGAATCTGATTACTCGCAATTGGGCCTGAGCATGTGCTGGTCTCTTTATTAATCGTCTTCTCCACATTGTTAATTGAATTTCCTTGATTAATTGCGGGACTAGGACTTAGGTCCAGCTTTTTCGACGCACCTGTGTGAGCACTACCATTCCCCACTTCTAGAGATCTGGTCGTGAATGGTGGCCCAGTTGGAGTTGTAATTTGTTGTGTATTACCACATTCTCAGGTATCAGCGATGATAGTTGCACTGACGGAACTTCCAATTGTAACGAGCGGTGGATATTTGAACGGCCGACCTCTCTTCTTAGCCATGGCTACCAAGGTCGGTGCAGGTTAGCATAACCTACGCCGAGAGCAAAGCTAGAGAGAGAATGACCTTCTGTTGTTCACCTTGGAATATTAATCACCTTTTTTCCTGGGAAACAAATCTCGGAGTCAATACATCTTGTATTTAAGATTAGCTAGTAGTATTTTATATGGACTTCATCTGATCAAATTTCAGTATTTACAGACTGTTTTAGCTAGTAAGCGTTGAACTTAAAATACAATTTGGGGAGAAATTCAAAAATAGCCAGATTTACAAGTGGTCGTTCAAATATATCCCAGTTTCAAAAGTAATTGAAATTTAGCCACTTTTCATGTAAAGATAAATCTGAGCGAAAACACTGTTCAAAACCCGAAAAATACGCCAGTATTCCAGCATAAGTATACTTGAACTCCAGCATATTATACTGGAGTTCCAGGATAAGTATGCTGGAACTCCAGCATAATATGATGGAGTTCCAGCATAAGTACACTAGAACTCCAGCATAATATATTGGAGTTCCAGCAAAGTATACCGGTCCAGTATAATATGCTGGAAGTTCATACACAAGTGCTCGAATCTCCAGTATATTATGCTGGAACTTTCTTTGTGTTGGAGTTCCAGCATAATATGGTAGAAGTTCATACACAGGTGCACCGAACTCCAGTATATTATGCTGGACCGGTCTCTGTTGCAGCAAAATAGTAGCTATTTTTCATTGACTTGGTAAAAGCTGGCTATTTTTGAATGACCAGTCCGAAAACTGGCTACACCGTGCTATTTTTACTACAATTTGTGTTACAAAGATAGTTCAAGTCCAAAATTCAATCAGCTTCTGAAAATTTGGCCAAATAAATCTTTTGAGCTAATGCATTTAGGAATTACCATTCTGTTTGAAATTATGATCGTAATTAGAATTCTTGCCTATGGAGAAGATAGAGTGTCAAAAGACCTACTTTTCTTTTTAAAAGAATTTAGAGTCTGAATGAGACTATTAAGCCTCAATAGTGGAAGAAAGGAAAATCTTAGTAAGATTGGGATCGTATGCCTCAGTGGCGGACCCAGGATTTTGTGCAAGCGAATTCAATCTTAGAAGTACATAACTTTAGTCTTAAATATAGTTGTCAAGTGGGTTCAAAAATAATATTTATATAAAATTTACGCAGCTTTAATCGTAATTTATACATATGCACAATATTATTTTTTGATGAAGCGGGTTCAATTGAACCAGCTTGCCACCACGTGCGTCCGCCAGGGGCGGATTTACATGGACCCAAGCGGTGTCACGGGACACCGCTTCATTGAAATCTTTTACTACATATATATATAAAAATAATAAATAAAACAGAAATGCAAGATAAAATTATTAAAAGTGACACCACTTACATCAAAATAGCTCAATAGTCTAGTGGTTTACAGCTTTGTATACGGCCAAAATCAGGGAACCCGATTTCAAGGTCTTAAATTGGGTTATGAGTCCGAGTCCGGGCAACTCGAAATGGAAGTCAGATCCGGTCGAGGGACACATACCTCGAGGAAGCTGATCGAAGGCCTGACATGACCTGCATCGAGGGCAGCACAATCTTGAAGTCAATCAAGAAAGAGCAGGAATTTCTCAAGGACACGTGAACCAGGGGATAAATTAAAAGATAAGATTTGTACGAAATGGTACAGGTCCATACTAGGCTGTTATACACCTGTACCAATAGAATTCTTTACTACAATTAGGAATGTACTATATTGGGGTTTCCTCCTCCTATATAAAGGGGACCCCAATCATTTTGTAAGGACATCTCACATTATTCTCTGCAATAGAACATTCTGCTATTCTTGTTTAACGTGCTCAACAATTATTCTTCAGCTTTATTATTCATTCTTTATCGTTCTTAGCTGACCTCGAGGTCCCTGGTACAACCAAGCTCGAGGCCCCTATTGCTTTAACAACACTGATTTGGTTCATCATTTCTTCTTACTTAAGCTTAATATTACTTGTTTAATCACTAGTATTAGAATATATCATATATCTTTAAAACCACAAATTTTCTTTAATCGTTATTCACATTTTTCGAGGTAAACAAGCTTCAAGTTTGATGTGAGAGGTCTTGGTTCGAACTCCCTTGGCTCCATAAAATATTTTTTGACTGTTACAGGCCTATTGCTAGAAATAGTGACACCGCTTATGAAAAATCCTGCGTCCGCCACTGGTATGCCTAATGAAAGATAAAATTGCAACTAATTTTAAAGACTTTAATAGTCAAATCTTCATTTGGAAAAATAGGAACTTCATATATCAAGGCCATGGTACTAATTATGTATTAAAACTCATATTTATTTTATGCATACAACTTTTAGGGAATTTTTTTGGTCCTTGTTCGAATATCAGACCACAGGCCATAGGCAATGCTGAATATCGCATAAATTCACCAAGAGTTCATTGGCTCTAGAGAACATAGGCCAACTTAAGCTCCTAGTCCAGATATATTCATTTGTTGCCTCAAATAAGTATATGTTCTACACTGTCTCCAGATATACAGAAGATTTTCTATACCAACATACAACAATATGCAGCAAACACTAAAAATCTGCCGCACACGATCTCCATTCGACAAGAAACACATGTCTCAGTGTGCTGCAAGAGGCACTCTTACTCTTTCAGTAACACTCTTAATATACTCCCTCCTTGCTGGATGATCTTCTTGTGGTCGATTATGAGCTGTCCACACCGGCTCTCCCACGAACAACCTCATCAACTGCACACAAAGTCATTTACGAAATGGGCATTTAAAATCAGGGAATGTCTCATCAGATAGCATATTCATCAAAGTTAACAAGCACTCAAACAGAGAAATGCACTCTATATATCTTTTCACCACCATTGTATGATCTTTGTTAATGTCACTGGCAAGCCAACTTTTCTTCTCTGCTTAATGAAAAAGAAACTCAAGTTTCTACATACCTTGACATAGTTCCCAGTGTCGAGAGTGAACCTGTGGTAAATCCCAGCAGGTAGGATGATCAGATCACCAGCCTTGATCCAGATGCGAATCCAGCGATCATCCTTGTCTCTCACATCGAAATATCCACTACCTTCCAGACAGTAGCGTATCTCCTCATCTGCATGTATGTGCTCTGTGTAGAAATTCTTCAACTTCTGCTCATAGTTCTCCACCTTCTCAGGGCACAAATCCAGCAAATCCTTCAAGACAAAAGCATGGCAGAAGTAAGAAAATGATGCTGCAGCATAGCTGGTACAGAATCAGAGTTTAAAATGGACACAATTATTACAGTCTCTGCACACATCAAGACAATAATCACACAGATCATATGCGCTCTATTGGGAGCTCTGGTAAAGCTACACTTAAAGTCGATAGACCTACAGAACTAAGAAACTGAAGCTGCAAGTTCCGATTTGCAAGTAGCGAGGAGTTTCTTGTGAGCTCCGAACAAAACAATAAATGACCACTAATACTGAACCTTAAATCGCACATTTCTAATAGCTGATGTATAGTATGTGCATGTTTAACATGCTATGATAGTGGCAATTCTATATTCACCACCATACAGCTTAATTGAGGAAAAATGTCGGTTGAAAAGCACATAAAGCAAAAAGAACAGAAAAAGGATTCAGAAGACAAAAACAGCACATAAATTGCATTTTCATCAGTGCCTTTTATCTCCCTGGATCCAGATTATTGGCACTTAGGCATAATGTGTGTTGCATTACATTGATCTGATCACCATCTCCCTAACCGGATGGAGGTCCACATAGCTCAACCACTATCTTCATGGATCGTTTTCCACTCATTCTACGACACCAAACAATAAACACACGAGTACCATGTATACATCTCACTTTATTTTATACGTTATCCAGATGATGAGAAATCTGAACCACTCCATTCAACTTCATTCCCCTAGCCTCTATAAATCATCAACTTAAGTCTCCTTGATGCTTGTTTTGACCAATGTCTCCATCAATATCAGTCCTGTGTATTCCATCCCGTTGCACAATTATTCACATGGGATTTCAACTTTTAAAGCAAAGTCCCTGATTGAATCCTTTAAATTAATCAAGGATATAGAGAACCAAATATGCAAGGACATGAATAGGATCATCTTGTCCATAAATGCAACACCGTCTTAGTATATGTGAAAGCCATCCTAGAAGTTAACCTACTATTCCCATAACCCATTAATAAATTACATGTCTATTCTATGATTTTGTCACACGTTCAGCAGAAACATAATAGTATCTCGTCATCTCTTCCCAGTTCCAACTACCCACTGATAAACAACTACCTCCTTTTAATTGTAGCAGACTTACAGAAGCTCAATCTTTTAATATCTAGGAAAACATACAAATCGAGAAATTTTAAGTAGAAACTTGACAGATTGCTTAGAGGTTCTTAACACTTCAAGAGCGTGTTTGCACCAGTTAACACAAGTGGAGACAGATAAACAAACCTGAAGTCAACCTTAATCTTGTTACAATAGCTTGATTATATAGCTATACATGGGAAATGATTTTGATACTTGGACATTAGGCCTACTCTATTGCAAATTCAAAATTTTCTTTCTAAGAAATTCGCAGGATCCCAACTAATAATATGAATCACTAAAATTAAACATGAAATATCACAAAACATAGTTTTTCAGCAAGAACTGTATTAGGTATAAAAGTCAGAGATGAAGAAAGAAAAAAAGATGGCTCTGACTAATGAGAGCGATGGCCGAAATTTCAGAAATCTTTAACACCACCTCTGCTTGTGCTTCTAAGAATCGAGAAAACGGATTAAGTCAGACTTAAAAAGTACCCAAAAAAGAAAAAAAGGAAAGAAAAAAAACACTTCCAAAAGCAAATTAATTTACAGACTTTAGTTCATATCATGCGGATGTGCAATTCCTCAATTAAAGAAAAGTGAAAAGAAGTCAAAAGATGCACATTTTCCATTGTACAACTGCAATTATACCTCAATACAGACTGTAGTGGCTGTATGAATCGTTAATATCATAAACAACGATTGTTCTGTTTGGTCCATAATATACGTAAGGATCATCTAACACTTGGGATTTTCTAATATATTCAAGTGGTTATATCTTTAATACTCCTTTAGTAAGCCCTAGTGTTCAAATTGACATCATCAATTTAAGAAACACTCAGAAAAGATAAATTGAAGAAATAGATAAAGCACAAAGACAAATACCATGTAACTGTATCCTCTACTCTCACGAATTTTCTTCAATTCTTCATCGTTCTCGTACTCCTTAGGATTCAATTTCCAGTACAATACTCCAATTTCTGCCAAGTGATCCACAGACACAAACTCCGGTGGATTCTTGTGGTGAGGTAGCCTCTGATCTTCTGAATTTTCATCCATGAACCATGCCTAAGCTTATAATCAATCAATTAATATTTGTAGTAAAACAAAAGTAATTTTTTGTTTTTAAATTTAATTAATCTATCAATAAACTCACCTCGATTGCCATTGTGCTGATACTACCTCGATTGACCTCAATCTAGAGTTACAGTATTTTGGGAAATGCTAAGTTTCATTGGGTTAATATATCACTGATATTTGGAGATTAATGCTGTTATTTTACGCCACGTGTACACTCCGATTATTATTTAATTTATGTGGCGAAAGTTTGTTTGGCTGTTTCTCGTAGTTTAATCAAATATCTACAACCGGATGGAGTTTTTCACCATACGTTCAGTTTGTGAATCGGAATATTTCACCAAATGCTATAGAATTCTCCAGAGAAAAAGCTTGGCACAATCATACAAGCTATGGATCACTGACATAGCCAAGAATTCCGTCAAGAATGTTCAAACTTTAAGCAAGTAAATAATTGTTTCTGACCATAATTGGTGTAGAAAATCAAACTACATAACATTTAGCTAAACAATTAAAAAAAAATTAATAGAACTATAATTTTATAAATCAAAATTAAATTAATAAAAAGACGATATTAGAAATTTTACTAATAAAAATAAGCATAAACCAAAGGAAAGAGAGAGAGAGGCGAGAGGATTTGTAGTTTGTAGAGAGTTTTTATTGAAGAAAATTTTGTAGACCTTGACTTTAAAATTATAAAATTTATTTAAGAAATAACTTTTTGCTAAACAATTTAAAAAAAATTAATAAACTATAATTTTATAAATCAAAATTAAAATAATAAAAAGACGATATTAGAAATTATACTAATAAAAATAAGCATAAAACCAAAGAAAAGAGAGAGAGAGGCGAGGGAATTTGTAGTTTGTAAAGAGTATTTATTGAAGAAAATTTTGGAGAGCTTGACTTTAAAATTATAAAATTTATTTAAGAAATAACTTTTAGTTAAAAAATTACTTTTAAGATTAGTTGTTTATTTCTACACAAATTTTAAGTATTAAGAGTTATTTCATTAGAAAACTTTTTAGATTAAAAAAGAATCAAATAGATTACACATGGTTGTCTCCGTTTAGTTTGGGCAAATAAAATGGACAGAACTTTGAACTCGCGAACGTTACTTTGAACACCCTGGACGCTGGACTGCCTCACACAACTGTCTTAAGGGTGTTTAAAGTATAATATATAACCATATAAAGTGGTATGTAACTGTCACGATCCAAAATTCCTCCGAAGGAGTCGTGATGGCACCTAGTCTCTAAGACTAGGTAAGCCTAACATTAACAGAAATAACGGCAATATTTACTAACTTCGAACAATTTCGAAATAGAAATCTCTGAACAATTAATAATCTCAAAATCGGTAGTACAAGTCATAAGCCTTTTTAGGAATAGTTGTACAAAATGAATACATCACTGTTCCAGAACAAAAGAAAATAATGGAAATAAGTACAATAGAAGGTGACTCCGAGACCTGCGAACGCAGCAGCATGTCTACCTTGAGTCTCCACAGCAACGATCCGCACAACTACTAACGACCGGATACCTGGATCTGTACAAAAATGTACAGCAGTATAGTATGAGCACACCACGGCGGTGCCCAGTAAGAATCAAGACTAACCTCAGTGGAGTAGTGACGAGGAACAGTCAAGACACCTACTGGTCTAATAAGCTGAACGGGATATGACAGACAGCTAACAAGATAAAGGTAACAAAGTAACGCTAATAGTAGGAAGAAATCAAATTACAAACAGTAGAAACAATAAGGGGAAAACACGGATGATAACGAAAAGTAACCAAGTAAATTAACACCAACATAGCTGGGATACAGACAAGTAAAAAAAATGTGCTCAAATAAGGAAAACAATGTTAACTCAACCAATCGCATCATTTCTAATACACAATTCCGACCATCCCAATCCTCGAAGTCTCATATCAAAATCACAACTTCTAAACGTTTAACACACATGAAACCTTGTGCCCACATATTTTCCTTTCACTTTACACGGCAAAATTCACGTGCTACTCAATATATCATATCCGTATCAACTACTAATTAAGATGTTCAAGAAGTTCCATCTATATTTCATAAAGTAAATTCACAGTTTCAGACCAAATAGGAAACCAGCGAGAAAGAGGAACTTATTTTTTTTTTTTTGAAATCATTTGAGTGAAGAAAATAACATTTTCGATTAAATTCAAAATTGAATAGCTATTGCATTTAATATTTATTTAGTTAAAACATAATAACATTCCTTTTTAAATAAAATAGAGAAAAACCATACGCAAGTGAAGAAGATTAATCTGGGGAAGCAATTGAAATAAAATATAATGATTATTAGAATTAGTAGATACTAAAATATACGACGAGTTCTAACTTAAAGGCACACAATTAAGCATGATATGAATTCCTTCATTTTAAATCACGATATTACGAACGACTCAGCAGGGCAGGAGGAAATGACTTGACGTAGTAAATTTACTTTGAAAATTAATTCATCAAAATAATAGTATTAGGAAAAGAACTCAGAAAATTACGGCAAGTCAATAAGTCAATGACAATAAATCGATCCTCAAAACTCAGTGAAAACCAGAAATAGAAATTATCAAACACGAAGAAACTAAAGTCAATACAGTAAATCAAGGGATACCAAAATACAAGATATGTTGCGGCGCAACCCGATCCCACCATATAATATCAATTCACCCTTATTCCTCCTCAATATATCACCCTTATTCCTCCTGTTGCGGCGTGCAACCCGATCCCACCGTACAATATCAATTCACCCTTATTCCTCCTCAATATATCACCATTACTCCTCCTGTTGCGGCATGCAACCCGATCCCACCGTATAATATCAATTCACACTTATTCCTCCTTAAATATCACTCTTATTCCTCCTGTTGCGGCGTGCAATCCGATCCCACCGTATATAATTTAAATCAACAACAACAAATCAATAATTCAATTACAGGAATCTCTACCACCAAGAGTATGAGTCCACGGCAACAAGAGAATCACGCAAAAATTAAAGGAATACAACAACCTTTACAAAAACAACAAAACATGTAAGGCACGCGATAACTACACAGGCAACCACAACAATTTGGACATGTAGCATATATGCACAAAGTTATAGAGGAACTCACAATTAAGAAGTAACAAAACTGTAAGGAAGGCAATCACTTCAATTAAGGCAAATAAGGGCCAAATAACAAGTAAGAGGTAAAGAAGTGCTAACAACATCGTATAGAGCATGTAGAGGTGAAACTAGCAAATAGGAAACTCAATCATGTCAGAACAACTTCCTACTTAGTGAATATAAGGACCTAAGAACCATAAAAGGCCAATTTTTCACAAATAAGTCCGAGCACGCACCCGTCACCTTGCGTACACAGACTACAATTAGCATAGAAGACTCAAATCCTAAGGGAAAATCCCCCACACAAGGTTAGGAAAGATACTTACCTCAAAAAGGACAGACCGGTACTCTAAAATGAACTTCTCAGGTGAAATGACCCCCGGACGGCTCAAATCTACCCAAAATAACTTCAAAGCACAAATAAAACTCATAAGAAACTATTCCAGATCATAAAGCCTCAATCTTTATCAAATTCTAGAAATCGGTCCAAAAGTCGACCCCCCGGCCTGCACCTCGGAATCCGACAAATTTCACAAAATCCGAACACCCATTCCAATATAAGTTCAACCATACAAAAATTATCAAATTCTGAAATCATTTCGACCCTCAAATCATGATTTTTCATTTTGACAGTTTTCTTAAAAATCTCCATTTTTCCTCAACCTAAAACACTAATTAAATGATTAAAATAAAGACAAAATCATGGAACATAATAGATTCTAGGTGAAGAATACTTACCCAATCATTTTTCTTGAAAAACCCACAAAGAATCGCCCAAAACCGAGCTCTAGAACTCCAAAAGTTGTGAAAATAGCAAACCATCGGAATAGAGTACTATTTATACTGCTCAGATCTTTAAGCATTGCGAACGCGGAAGGATGCACGCGTTCGCGAAGAAGAAAAATGAAGGCTGCCAGGATGACCCTACCGAACGCGAAGAATAAGAAGCAGGAACATATGCGAACGCGGAAAGAAGGACGCGAACGCGAAGAGTAAACGACCACCAGTGGCCAGTGCCTGGTTCCTACTACGAACGCGAGAAGGCAACTGCGAACGCGAAGAATAGAAATGGAGAAGTACGCGATCGCGGAACAAAGCTCGCGAACGCGAAGAACAAATGATTCCTCCTCCGAAATAACCCTACGCTAACGCTGAGAAAGTGACGCAAACGCGATTAAGGAAACCAGATGGCAGAAACCAATAGTTCAAAAATAGAAGGAAATGGCCCGTGGCCCATCCGAAACACACTCGAGGCCCTCGGGACCCCGTCTAAACATACCAACAAGTTCTATAACCTTCACGGACTCGCTCGTGGTCTCAAATCACATCAAACAATGCCGAAATGGCGAATCGCACTAAAAATCGAACTTATGAACTTTCCAATCTTCCAACTTCTAAAACTCGTGCCGAAACCTATCAAACCAACCCGGAATGAAGCCAAATTTTGCAGACAAGTCCTAAATGACAAGACGGAGCTGTTTCAATTCTCGGAATCGCATTCCGACCCCGATATCATAAAAGTCAACTATGGGTCAAACTTCTCCATTTTCCAAAATTTCAACTTTTCAATTTTCGCCAAAATGCTTCAAATTACCCTACGGACCTCCAAATCCAAATCCAGACGTACGCCTAAGTCCAAAATCACCACCCGAGCCTATCAGAACTATCAAAACCCCAATCCGAGGTCAAATACTCAAAAGTCAAATCTTGGTCAATTCTTTCAACTTCAAGCTTCTCAAATGAAAGTCACTTCTAAAAATCCTTTCCGAACTTCTCAAAAACCCGAACCGATGATGCACACAAGTCATAATACACTCTGTGAAGCTACTCGTGACCTCAAACTGCCAAATCGGATGCAATTGCTCAAAACGACCAGTCGGGTCGTTACATTAACTTATATGTACAATATAATTTTTCAGCGAAGGGTGTGCGCTTGACCACGCGTGGGATAGACCGAAACAATGCTCAATATTCATTATTAGCATTAGGAATGTGACGGATGAATGAAGTCTCCTCACTCTTAATTAGCGCGCGCGCGC